AGCAAGGGGAGCGGCTACTCAGAGTGAGACAGCAGATGGCCACCAAAACAACCCAAGTAATTCTCAGGGGAGACCGAATTTTCTGCTGAGCAGTAAACATCAGTTGTGTGGGTATTTCCACACACCCACGCTTTGATCCTGACCACATACACACTTATTGTAAGCCAAACTTTCTGATGGGACCACTCACGACTTCTGGTCAGCAAATATCCATGTGTTTTCAGAATGGCCCCTGTATCTGAACTGTACTTGCCAAGTCACTATGTTGATCTTGCTTGTAGCTGACATTCTTTTAACTTCACTGCAACAAAAAAGTTTGCCCCTACCTCAGCGCTTCTGATCTGGTAATCAGGTGGCTTTCAGACAGGCCATTCCAGTAAGCAATTGAAAAAGTAACACTGCATTGACTATTCACATTGAATAGAAAACCCACACTGAAGACCAGTGATCAGAAAAATCTGAAGACCTGGGATTTTTCTATCAGCTTTTTTGATTCAAAAGCTTGGGAATTAGATACTGCCATTCGTGAATTAAAAGAGAGGGCCAACATGAAAACATTTCAATCGACTCCAGCAATGAAAAGCGATTGCACTACAAATATGTTAACAGAAAGCATTCTTTGGAAGATGTTTGTAGTACCTATAAAAACGTTGCATAATCAGACTCAGACAGCTTAGCAAAAAAGAAAACCACAAATACCCCTACAGTATTTTTAAAAGTAGTTTCCTCTCTTTATTCAGGAACATCCTGGGAGTGGCTCCTGTGCATAATAGCATTTTCAACTACAGCGAGGAGCTGGCAAAACTGTGGTTACTCTAGATGTTTTCTTGTAGAGCACAAACATGCCCATTCAGAGAACTGCTCTAATAATTTCCTTGGAGTAAAGGAAAAGAATTTAATAGGAATCTTGAAAAAGGCTCTAAGTGATATGCATATGCACTGAACTTCTGCAGAGCTACAGAAATGCTCAGAATGTTATCAAATCTCCTCTACTGTGTAATTAAAAAAAAAATAATAATCATCCAGGATGAAGATTTCTGCTAGGTATCAGACTTTCTAGATACGTACCTATGTCAGTAGTCAGTCTAGATCTGTCAAAGGCAAATGCAAAGGCTGGGCACTTCCCATAACAAAGGATGCAGAAATCCAATCTATGTGCTATATCATGCCTATGCAGAACTGCCTTGACTAACACAAGCATAATTTGGGGATGCGAGTGTGATATTCAAAAAGCTGAGCACATGTGTTTCTGGGAGATCATTATACTAAGTTATAAAAGTTATGGAAGAGTGGTAGTACAGTGGCTATGTCTTTCACTTCAGTGTAAAATCAGTATGTGCCCCAACAGCATCCAAAGATGGGTACTCCAGTAACAGAGGTTGCAGCTGGAATTCATCAGAAAAGCCATAAAGTGAGAAAAGCTTGAAGACTGCAATATTCTAGTTTCTCAAAGCACACACTCTGTGTTTAACAGTAACTATTGCTAAAAAAGTGGGCTGATAAGGACAGAAACAACTGCAGCCTTGAGAATCTTGTAATGCTGATCAAGCTTTCTTTACTTTGTGAACAGAGGGTTTAAAGGGTTAGCTGTTACCCTTGAATTTCATTCAAAATAAGATATAATAACGATAGCTGGGCACTGTAAATACAGCAGGGTTGTTTACCTTCAATTTTGCAGATCTCAGTGAGAAGTTATTTTCCTTTATTGTAAATAACCTTAAAAACCAATAGCATAGAGGCACAAAACTGAGCTTTCCTCACTGTTTCTTTGAGATAATTCAGTGTTAGCTTTGACAGCGTGTTTCAAGACATACCTTATACTACCTGAAGTGAGCTCAGTGGTGCAGTTATAGAATTTTTACCATAAAATCTTCAGTAGTTTCCTCTTATGCTTTGCTCACTTCCCAGTGATGCCTGATAATAAAATCAGCTGCACAATGTATACATGCAGCAGGTTTGTGATGCAGCTGTCGCAGGACCATATGGCTTTACATCAGTCTTTTGCACCAACCCTGGCACAGTGGTTGTTCTAGAGAAGAAGGAAAACAGGAACAGCACTACTGAGCTACTATTTTTCTGGTGGATTTGGGGTTTAGCTTATGTTCAAAGCATGGCTCTTCACAACACACAGGTCCATGAGACACCGCTGTAGCCAGCATCCCTAGAGGACTACAGGCTCCTGAGTGCAAAGCCAGGAGGCACCTCAGAGCCCCATAGCCTGCAGCACTCCTGGCTTTGCGTGCCATTTGTGTGGGAAGGCTGCAGTGTAACCACAGTCTGTAGTACTCCAGCTCAAGGTTCAAAGGCAGACTACCCTCTGATACAAGAACAGGCAGGAAGCCAGGCAGACTTCTGGTTTTGTGAACAATTGCAACTGATTGACATTTTCCTATAAAATTTCCAGTTAAACAGTAAAGCCATAAACTATGGTTTAAAGGAGAATTAGAAGCCGTTAGGGAGAAATAAAAAATGAAAGTTCTCTTTTTGCGTGAGAAGTGAATGAGGATTATTCTGCTCATCTTTAAAGGACAGACAACATGATTCACTAAACTAGAACTCCAGTGTTTACTCTTGATCCCATTCTGAAATGTAGGTCTTCCCTTCATCAACAGGATCCCACTAGTCTCCCTTCTCCCAGCCTTCCCCAAAGCACCTGGCAACCCTCAGCCTTATTGCATACCTGATGCCCCACTACCTGTTCATTTGTTCCAATTCTTTCTCAGTCTTACTCAAAAAACCAAAAACCCACACCAAAATGAAAAACCTCTCCACAATAACTCATCTCTATATAAATAATTGATCAAAAGTTCCTTTACGAATCCTGTAATTCTTGTATTTTTAAGCAAAACTTCAGAGATTTCAAAATTTATCAGATGGGGAAATCAATCATTCATGAAGCAAAAGCATAAAAAATGCAAACATCTAAAAATAAAGTGAATTGAAAACCTGGAGATATTTAGGAGACTCACTCCCTGTTTTTAGGGAGGATTTTTTAATCTTCACAAGCCAGTTATGTGTTATTATCAACAATCAATTGTATCTTAATCAGTGCATCTTCACTTTTCTCCTGTATTTCTCTGCTACTACCTTTCTCTTTCAAAAAAATTCACCTTTCAACCCATAAAACTTGCCAGTCACAAGCAGCTTTCTTCAGGTTGATCACACTATTTCAGTCGAGTACATTTGTCAATTCCTTACATGACTATTTTTAAGCCAAATGCTGAAATTGCTGTATTCCCAACTGGCATCTTTACCTATTCACTAGCTCTACAGAGAAAGGAAAATACATTTGCCATTAACAATCTCTTCACAATCTACACAATCATCTGTGTAAATAAACACAATTTTCCCTCCCCAACTAGCATGAGGAGAAAACACAGTACCTGTCTTGTTCCTGCAACAGCGAAAACAATACAATCGTTAATCACAGATCAAAAAAAATAGACGTTTAGAGCATGAATGACTGCTTATCAATGAGGTGACAAAAAACACGCCTCTCTCTTAAGTGATTTCACAAAAGGTCTCAGATGAAAATAGGAAAGCAGTGGTAGCTTAGAAAAAAATAAAAACAGGGAAAATCACTTACTGTACTTGGTTCTGCAGAGGTATTCAACACAAACATCACCCTTCCTTGTCCAGCTGCCAAGTGCTAAAGCATGAAATGAGCAGCTGTTTCCTTCAAGCTGGGGCTGTGTGTCTTAACTAGTCACATGCCCCTCCTGATAAATCTCACTGCTGTGCCAGGAGGTCAGAATCTGAAGATCATTATTCCCCCTATTAGAAAATCCTTTTCATAATAGCAGCCTTTGCTAAAACGCTTGACTGGAACGTGGCGCTATGTGTTCCATAACTTCTTTTTTCTCCCTTCTAAATGACTAACGCCCAACAGTAGATAAGTCTTAATCAACAGCAGGGGCAGTACGAATGGAAAGTTAAACAGATCTCTGTTGATTGCTTCAATTTTGCACCTGACTTTATGATCTGCTGCATTTAAATTCAGTCTTCCTGTCAGGAAGAGAACATTTTAAAGCACAGTGGTGTTCTTAACATCTTTAAGACTTGGTCTCTCCACTGATCACACAAAATAAGGGAACAATCACGCTTTGGGAGATTAGGCATATTTAAAGGGCAACATCACTACCTCTTATGTTTACATAGTAGAATGATGAGTGCCATAATAACACTGCAGATAATTTTTATTTTGGTGCCTACTATTTTTGCAGCACAGAGACAGAGCCCCATTGTGCCAGACATTGCCTGGTCACACAGGGATACCTCTTCTGGGTTGGGGGCTATCAGTCCAAACTGAGTCAACAAAATGGAAAACAAAAGCATTCTTATCCCCCTGTTCCTAAATGTAAGCAAATGAAAGTGTAACTCTAAAGTAAAAAAAAAAAAAAAAGACAGATTCTAATGGAATTTTCCAGGGAGATACATGGCCATATATTTCTGAAATATAAGTGAGATTTTGTAGCCTAATTCCCTACAGCTTGGCCACATATTTAAATATATTCAGGTGTTCAAAGGTAAAAGCATGCAGTCAATGGAATTTTGAGGGTGAGATGCAGAACTCAATTTTCTGAAAAGTTGAATTTCCAACATGCATATAGGAAATACCAGGCTGAAACTCCAGTGGTAGCTTATATCAAAAAACCTGACCAGCACACTGTTTCTGTACCTCAATATGGGGTGCAGTAACAATGGATGGTATCTTATGGTTTTGCAAGTAAACCAGACCTTGCAAGATCACAGTCCCACTGAATTATAAAGGCATTTTCCTGAAAGAGAAGCTCTGCTAATGGTACCATATTAGAGAGCTGAACAAATTCAAAGGATTGCTCAGAGCCTAAAAGCTACCCATTTATTTCAATTATTCAATTTTAATTGCATATCTAACTGGCACATTTGTCAGAAATCAACAAATGCCCTGAAGTTACTGAAGATGAAAGCTGCAGAAAAAAAAAAAAAGAAAAAAAAGAAAAGAAAGGGGGCAATTCAGGTTTCTTGCATTGACCCTACCCAGCTCTTCACATTATATAAGCTTGCACATGGTTATGAAACCACACAACCTTCCGTGCTGCCAGCACAGCCTGAAGCAGGGAAGAAGCCCTTGTGATTATTCTCCATGCATCTGTGTGTCTCTTGTGGGTGAAACCACTGGGTTTCCTTGGAAAGATTTAATGAAAAGCCTCCTAAACCTTCTCATCACCCAGCAGCATGAAGGGGTAGCAGCCTGTCACAGGACCCTGTCTGTAGGTTCAGTGCTGCAGGAACCCCATGGCCACAGCCTCAGTCAGGGGTCTCCTCATACCCCTGAAACTCCAGCCTGTCCCTGGCCACGTGGCAGGGTGCCTGCTTTGTCCTCGCTCATCTCTGCACCTGCACCCTGCTAACACGTGTCCACAACGGACAAACGAGAACGAAGCGTTAGCTCGGCGTTTCTTCATTTTGTAGCTAGGGAGACTCCTGGGTTTTCTCCCTAAGGACGGTTCTGGTGCAGCAGCCTTCCTCTCTTGCTGGCACCAGGGCAGAGGCTCTGGGATGCTCCCAGGCAGCCATTGGGGCTCTTGCAAACACAGAGATGTTTTTAGAAGGTTTTACCTTTCAGCCTAACCGAAATGGTATACTCGGACACCCCTCGTACTCCTACGGTCCCTCGTAGCAGCAAGGAGCAAGGTGTTGCACGCTGGCCCCACAGCAGCCCCCAGCGGTCTGAGTTCCCCAGTGCAGTACAACCCGACCCACCGCAGCCACCTGTGGCCCGCTCCTCGGCGGCCATTTTCCTGCAGCCACCTGTGCTCCTCAATGCAATGCACCTGGAGCGCCGGGTCGGCCATCTTGTGCGGTGCTAAGTGAGGCTGGCAGGGATCGTCTGCTCGTCTGGCGGCTGAGCATCGTGCACGGAAAGCAAAATTACACCAGGTTTCAGCTTTGCCCTTGTAAGCAGGGTAAGTAAGCGTGGCATGAGGAGGGATGCTTCTGGAAAGGCAGTTCAGTGGCTAAGTAACTGATTTATCCTACTGCATGGTAGGGCTTGGCAATATGGCAGCGACTTGCTCCTCTTGGAAGCTGCTTCCCTCTGCCTGAAGACGTTGATCTGGCCTCTAAGTAGAGTGCCTCCGTGCATGGGCTCTGTATGAGGTTTTTAAGCTGCTGAGGATGTCTTAAAAGAACGAAGGAGGTTGCAGAAAGGAAGGGTTTAAAAATGAGAAACAAGCCCATGGGGAATGAGTGCCTTTAAGTTCAGGACACTGGGAGAAGGATAATTTCAAAGAGGTACTCAGAGCTGTCCCTGCAGAACTGGGTGGCAGGCTGCTGCATGCCTTACTGGTTACGCCTCAGGGCATAGCCCATTGACCACATGAGTTACCTTTGGTAAATGCCGTTTCATTCCTCCTAAACACTGCTGTCATTTGAGATCGAGATTAATTGAATTTTATACATGGTTTTATAAAAGAAAAGATCACAAATTTCATTAGAAAATTAATTATAAAATTACTCTCTGCTGATATTTCAGAAAGCATGATTAAAATGTGTTCTGTATAATGATCTATCTGCACATAGTGTTGTGATTATTTTGTTCATTTCATGGATTATGCAGTATCCACAGCACTCTTTCAGATCTATTCAACATTCAAAGTTATAAGGTAGCTAATGTGGACACAGCAAATCTACAAAAATGGTGTTGTATTCCTATCTCTATTAGAGTACATCTTCTCTGTGACAAAATAAATAAATATGCAACAGTGTATTCAGTTTCTTCTTATGCTAAGAAAACAGCTCAAGGCTTGATAGAAAAGGATATATTTTTGTTTGTGGTAACTGATGTTTTACGTAAAAGCTAAGAAATGAACGTTCCTCAGAGGTGCCGTGAGAAATAGTGAACAGTAACAAAGAAGCATGGTGTGAAATTGTGATAGTATGTTTCACAGCTGCCTTTCAACTGCTGTTACTGCTATCTGTTTGGATGTGCTTGCCTATGTTTTGCTTATGTGTCATTTCATTTCCAAATTTGGCAGTGATACAACATTTATCTCTGCATCAGTGCTTTGAAACTGTGCTAAATCTTGGAAAGTATAATTATTTTCTGAATATGGCAGTTACGAAGTGGCCTGAAAATGCCTTTTTATGTTGGTGCGTTCTGCAGTTTGTTTAACAGGAATTAAGATTCTCAAAGGACACAATTGTACCCTCTGAGAATGTGAGTCAGGTTATGCTAACTGCAAGTCTGCAGTATTGCATTTGTTTCTTAAATGGCTGCACTATGATTTGGCTGCTATCTTTCAGAATATTTGGAATGTATAGCTAATAAACAGTGGCTCATTTTCTGGTCCGCCTCATTGCCGCAAGTACTATATAGCCTTCACTATCAGCAGATATGAATGAAAGCAGACCATGGAAGTGTTTACTAGACAGGATGTTTTATAAATACCAAAGTGCAATTAAAAAGCCTGCTATAAATAGTCTAACATCTCTCATGCTAAGCTGCCAGCTAAAGAGCATCTGAAGAACATCATGGAAAGGAAATTTTGCTGAAAATGTTTTGTGTCTCTCAGCATTCCTCTGCGTTCAGTCAGTTTTAAGCATCTATAGGCAATGCTACGTGTCTGGCAATCTGTGAATTCTAAGTTCTTCAACATTATGTTCAGTGCTCTAGGGGGCACAGCAGTACTGTAAATGTGATCTGTACCTCCCCTTTCACATGCAAAGATCACCCAATATTTATGTTGTGGCAGAGAAATTGAAGATAAAATTAGGTCATCCTTGAGTCCAACTCTTGAAAAAAGTCTCTTCTTCATATCAGCAATTATAAGTCATAGGTGGAGCCTATGGCAGTACCTGGAGTTGAGGTTGTGATTGCTTTTCATCAGAAAATGAATGCTTTTGTTTACTTTTTTGCTTATGATAATGTAGGAATATAAACTGAAATTCTCTGTGTTGCCTGAATGAATATTCTTATGTGTGTTAATCATATGCACATGTTCAGCTTAGAATTTGCAATTTGTGTACTTAATATCTGTGTACTCAGAACTGCAAGTTAATAGTAATTGTGTCTTAGCTGGTGCAGTATTTTCTCTGAAGATGTGATCTCTAATCTCTCTTATCTCCCTATACAAATTTGGCATGAAACATAGCGGGTAGTTTTGATTTTTCTGTACCTTTAGTCCTGAGAAATGGGATGAGCATAAATCAATGTGTGAATAAAGTAACTTCTTATCCATGCAACATTTAACAACAACAACAAAACCCAAAACAAACAAACACACCCCCTCTTCCCCCACCCCATACTCAAATAAAAAAGCAAACCCACATGGAATTGCATCTTAAAAACATCTCTTGATGTTCAACCAAGATGTTTGATGTTTCAACCAAGACCAGGATGGAGTTCCTATAGAAAAACATCAACTGGGCAACAGCATGCATATGAGGCATTTCAGTTTCAAGTTTTCCAGTGTTTTTAGCACATTTATCTTCGTTAATAGATTCTTTGTTGTTTGATGATAAAACTGCGTAAAATTGTTACTTGTTAGTTTATCCATGATGCTTCTCAGTCAGCATTGTGACTTTTGTTTTTACAAAAGCAGCATGAAATAGCTATCAGTTGCTGAGGATCAGCTGAATCAGTGTGCATTTCTATTGTTGTTGATTTTTTAAAAGCAAATGAGAATTTTATTATTATTATTATTATTATTATTATTATTATTATTATTATTTTGTAATATCTAATGTAAATACAGAGAAATACTGACAAATATAAATTGTTTAATTGAATGCTGAGGAGTAGTGGTGGTGCCTTTGCCCAAGACATAGAGAGAAATTGGCCTGTGCAGTCAGAACAAGCACTGTGGGCTTCTTTGCTGGCAGTAACAGTATCTTCACTGTTTAGTTGTTGTAGTTTACAAACCACAGAACAAAACAATAAAAGCTTTTCACTATCTACCTTATATAGCAGTCTGACTAGGGTGGATACACTTGTGTCAGAAACAGAGCTTGAAGACTGTGCTTCCTCACCTAGATGTGGTATCACCACTTAAGCACCAATCCATCATAAAGGGTGCTATTTCCAATACTACCCTGATTATTCTGACTGTGAAATTTCTAAACAGACTTGTGTGTTTAGAAGAGATTTGTGTTCTAGATTTCTCTGACCATCCTCACCCTAGGTGGTGTTTCACACAAAGATGGGGCAGTGCTGCATTGTTGAGTGCACTGCGGGTAAGTCTGTTGCAGGGCAATGGTGAGTTAATCAGCAGCTTCTACAGTTTAAATGCTTCAGCAAGTACAAGTGAACAAGAGCATGGCATCAGTATTTTTTTCTGAGTTCCTCATTACATAGTCTCTCAGATATGAAGCAGAATGTTAGTTGCATGAAAAGTTTTCAAGTCAGTAAACACATGTTAAGTGATACATTTGTTTCTATTTTACAGAAAGTACCAGCTTACTTGTCTCTCCTATTATAAACTGAACTGATTTCAACTTTGGCTTGTGTAAGTCACCTCTCAGTGTGTTTTTTTCACTCAAAATTTATGTTGGAATGACTGCTATTCTACCACATCTACCAGTTTTTATGTGAATCCCCATGTTGTCCATCTCAAACAATTTTTCCATGACTAAAGTACAAGGCATTTACGAGCTTTTTCAGTATACATAAGAAGTGAAAAATGTTTTTTTCTGTAGTGTAAATTTTGATGTATATGTTGACACCACCCAGTGATTCTTGGTTTATCAAGTTGATCTTCTCAGTGGGGCAGCGTGAGCTGATGCTGAGCACTGCTGAGCATCAAACTGAAACAATACCCAGAGCTGGAACAGACATCTCAGCTTGCAGATTTATGTAGTCCTTTTACATTGACTGTACAGGAGTGGAATAAGGGAATCTAGTGAGAAACAAAGCTGAAAATCAAACCTCTTTCCTTCTGCTTCCTTGAAAGAACCTGAACAATTCTTTTTTTTAAAATCTGTTTCTGTCATTAATAGTTAAAAACAAAACAGAACAGTAATCATGCATCACTCCTTTGTTATCAACAGCAATTTAAGCTTCTGCTTGCACTGTAAAATGAGGCATAGATCGTAAATGCCTAGCTTAGTAGAATTGACAGGCAGTCTCCACTAACATGTAGAATGTTTATCAAACTATGTTATCTGTCAATCTGTGTGAGCTCAGTAGTGTTATGTGTGAGCATTTTGGAGTCTGTGCTTCCAAACTTCCTGTGAGATGAGTGAATTTGGATCCATCTGTGCTTTCTGTATGTTATGATGTACCCAGTGCAAAGATGAGAGAGGCTGTTGCTTCCATGCTCATGAGTTGAGGAGATTTGCTTATTATAGTCAAAACAGTTAATATTTTTGTATGCCAGAGTCCCTGGGAGCCAAGGTTGCTGTATGCATTACGCTTTGAATATGGGCCTTTCTCTGTTGCTGATGTTCCCATTTCATGTCTCTTAATGGTATGAGGACACTACTATGCTTTTTTATGGTGCTCAGGGACGTGATTTAGCAGAGGGTTGTTAAGTTGTGGTTGGACTTGATGATCTTTAGGGTTTTTTACAACCTGAGAAATTCTATGATTCTGCTTTTAACTATTGCTTAAGACACTTAACCCTCCTACAGTAAATATCACAGAAAGATGTACAGTATCCAGAATTCTGTATATAAACTGTATTGCTATATAAAACCATAGTGTTATGCGAAGATAGAGTGGAGGTTCCTTCTTTTAAGAAAGAAAGAAGGGACTAGCCAGGCCTGTGAGGAAGGTCAGTCTGTTTGCAAGAGCTCAGCATTAGTTCACTGTCCTCCATTGCCTCTTCACATTTCTGAATTAGGGACTACTTTATTGTTCAGTTGAGTTTGAATGTTTTTTTTTCAGTTTTCCTTTCCCCTTTCTTAATGAGCCAGCTTATCTTTGAAGATCTATCTTTAGCCTCCTGAGATTATTGTGGTGCAGTAATAATCCAAAATAGCAGTGAAACATCTTATGAAACTCTATTGGAAAAGTGAAGTATGCTAGGATATAAAGGATGCTGAGAATTCTAAGCTATCTAAATGGAAGTGTTGGTTCTTTTTCGTTCTTGGTGCAATGACCTACAGCTTTATAATGTACAATCTCTTGTGAATTAACTAGCTGGATAATGCCAGGGCCTGTTAGCTTGACAAAACATTAAATTCACCACAAATGGAATTATTGTGTTGTGTGACTGAATCATGTTATAGAGCAGCTTTGCATCACACCTGGGTGTTCCTTTGTTTACAGTTCACTCCTGCTTTCTTGACCATCACTTCTTTGCAGTGTTGGTTGTGGACTGGCAGGTTTACATTTTCACATTCTTGGAGGCGTGTGGTCCTGCATTACAGAAATGCTAGAGCAGTGCTGTATTTTGTGTTGCACAGTTGGTTGAGTCCTTCAGTCACTGGGGAAAGTGACTGCACAGTCTGTTAGGGGACCACAACAAAGAGGAATACTTCTCAAAGCCAGCGTGCCCTATCTATGCAAGAAGTGAAGGATGCCTACAGGGTTTTGTATTTGCAAGCTATTTGGAGAAGTCTTAGTGTATCATATGGTGCTTTTGATTAAACTTTGCTCAGAATGACTTTTGCAAAGCTATATGTCAAATAGCGGAGTTCTGCTTTGTTTAGATTTCTGTGAATGCAATCACTTGGGGTGTATAAAAGCTTAAGCTTTGTCAAACTCTTAGTTGCATGAAGTGTGGGTTTTCCCATCACTAGCTGAGTTTTCCACGTAGCCCTGGAGGCTGTATGTGCCATCTTCTCTGTTCTGCTGCAGTGTTGGACATCTTTGTAGTCAAAAGATCTTTGAATCCTGGAAACAACATTGTTTGTGGGCAAGGTGTATGCAAGGCAGTCATCTTGTTCCTCCTCCCATTGTTTTTTTTTTTTGTTGTTGTTGTGCATGTTGTATCCTTTGTGATGCTGCTATGCTGTTCTATGTATATGGAATATACCACTCTTGCTGAGGCTTGTAAAGGTGGTATCAGATCAAGTTTCCCATTTCTTCTCATCTTTGCTTCCAATACTAAGTTGTTTTGTTTTGTTTTGTTTTAAACTTGTGTTTAAGTTTCTGATAATAAGAAATTTGATAATTTCCTTCTGCTATACGTCTCCATTTGATGACTGCTGCTATGTCTTGTGACTGTTCAGAAGCAGACTCCTTATCTTGTAACAATATTTGCACATGGCCATGTGGTAAATAGGAGAAGGTAAGACAAAAGATATCTGCACATTGGATAAGGATTGTCTGGTAAAGCAGCTTTTTCATTTATTCTTGTTTATGCAACAATGCTTTTCAAGTCCACTAAAGGCATAGGTAGCTAAAGTTAATGGTAATATCCCTTCAGGGAGAAGCTGTCCTTCACTGACCTTCGCTCTTGTGCGGAAGACTGGTACAAAGCCTGTGCACCGTTCAGTTCTCATTTGAGCTGGGGGATTGGTGTCAATTCAAGCAGTGGTCACTGTTGTCAGTCTCCATTTGCATGTAGAACATCATGAACTGCTCCTTAAGCTTTTATCTTGAGTGCACTACATCCACATGTTCTGTTACAAGCAGGCTAGTTTTTGAGTTTGGTACAAGAGTTATGGGAAAATCAGTGTACTGTGTTTGAAGTCAGACCAGATGATCTAATCACTCTGCCTGCCTTTAAATTTTATCATCCTGTTGAAATAATTTTGCTTAAAATCAATGGGACAGCTCATATGCTTAAATTTAAGCACCTGTATAAACATTTGCACGAGTCAGGATGTTATTCAGCACATAGTCATAATTTCTTTGATAATGCCTGAAAAAAAAACAGCTTATTTTTTATGCTGGCATTTCTATTGTAAGTGTTGTGCAGCTGCTTCTTTTTGAAGAGCAATCTTGATGCTGTTGTGAATTCTGATTTCTTCACATGTTTTGGCTGGGCTTCTTTTTTGTGTTCTCTCTCCCCTACTTCTGCTTATTGAGTGAGACTGTACTGTAGACTGTATATGTGACTTCAGAAAACCTTTGTTTCTCTGGGTAGATCAGAGCTTCCATGTCTTTGCTGGGTTGTTTTTTTTCTTAGTTTGTTTTTAGCGTTAGTGGACTTGATGGACTTAGAGCACACAGCTCCCTGAGGTAAGAGAGCCTGCTGTAGTAGAATAGGGGCTTAGAGAGAAAAATTGGATATACTATTGCAACTGCAAGAGGAATAACAAATCCCGCTAAACCTGACCTACATACCTGGTTGTTTCTGTTACCCAAAATGCATTTTTGATGTCAGGCTAGTTATCCTTGAGTCAGACTGCTCTTTCCTGGGAAGCTCAGTAGCACGGGGTGCCCACAGTGATGGCAGCTGACTGGCATGCAAATGGTTTCATACTTCAACCTTGCACTTTTTAATTAAACCCCCTCAAAATTCAGATTGCTTGTTTGGTCTCCCTGCAGGTAAATCCCTTTCAGAAACTGAAAGGAACTTTGCCTGAAGGAGGGCATGCTAGCATTCTATGCTTATAACTCAAACTGTAGCCTAAAAGGCTTTTTCTTGAAAATACCTACAGAGGCTCCTACTTGACTCTCATTAGATGTTTTATCCTTTACAAGGCCATGCTTATAGCCTCTAGGAAATGAGAATTACTGTAAATAATCGAGTACTTTGAAGTCAGACAAAGAGAAGCCGGATCCTTTCTGTGAGTGTTATCTAACATCTGTTTCATTGGAATTGCTGCTTGGCACCTCCTTGGATGCAATTTTCAGCTGAATGCTGCTGTTTACAATTGCCCTATCGCAGCTTTTCACCTACATGGCTGACATCCTGCCTTGCTATCTTCACTAAGACAGACTTCAAACATAATAACATCCTACGGGGATACAGTATAATAACTACACACCGTGCTTCCTTTTCACTGGGGGCAACTTTTCACAATGAGCCACTAATCCTAAATAACACTGAAATAAGACATGAATAATCTGAATAGCACGTGCACAGAGGTAGTGTATTAACACAGGTGAGATTCCTAGAAGGTTACCCTCACAGCTGTTCAAAGGCAATAAAACTTTGTTGCTGAAATCCTGAGTCTGGTATTCTGCAGCTTCTATCCTCCCGCTTTCAAATGGCAACTTTTCTTTGTTAGCAGAGGGCGTCTTTAAAATAGAAGAAAATAAACGTGATCTTAAAATAATTTTTCCTCTTAGAAGCCTGTCTTGGTGATGCTAATTCAATTAATTGATATGGTCTGCAGACCACTGTGTCTTAAAATGAAGCTTCCTACGTATGATGCCTCGATAGATATTTGTCTCTATCTGAAAATAAGCATATTACAAAATCCCACTCACATTTGGCTGTTAGTTTTAATTAGACCTCTGAGTGGTAATGACATGGTGTTACAAAAAAGCATGAAGAATGCTAGATATTTATATGTACACATGGGGTATTGTTATGCATTTACCCACATACCTAAATATGTGCCATAATAAAATCTGAGACTGTAGAGACTTTCAGTGCTTCAATTTTGGCAAAGTCCCTATCTTCATATATACCTCATGGGTCTGAGACTCAATTTTCACAACACTTTAATTATAAATTGTATTTATGTTTATACATTCATATAATCTAAATGAACACATCTTACATAAACATATGTTCCATATAATTCTCCATCCCTCTCTTTTTTTCTAAATTTTTATTTGAAGCCTTACACAGAGCTGACTTCTTTGGGGCAGGCAGCTTGCATCAGTCTTTCTCTTGCACTTTGTCACAATGATAAGATAGATAAACGAGATGCAGGTGAAGAAAACAGCAAGAAGATCATGTGAACATATGGCACAGGCATCTTTCACTTCAGGAATAATCTGAGGAATCTGTAATTGAATTCAGGTTTCTTTCTTTAAAAATTAGACATCCTGCCAAACCTTTATCTGAAAATCAGATACAGTTCCTTCTCCCAAGCTCGTGCTGTTTTCATTTACTAGTCCGGTCGCATGTGAAAAGACGCAGAGAATGCAGCCAGCAGAAATGCCAAAAGGAGACACTTACCTTAATCTGACAGATGTGTGACTTTCAGAGTGCTGCTTCAAAAAGCTCTTTGCGGCCACAGGGTTGAGATGCACAGGGTTGAGGTTATGTGCTGCTCGGCGGTGTCCCATCCATGGCTGCACCCAGCCGTGGCAGGGCCTGTGGAATGGAGCAGGGTCCTGCTGCGTTGGCTCCCAGCAGCTCACTGAGGCTGGGGCTCTTTTGAGCTCAATTAGTTCTAGATTGTTTCGCTAAATGGCAGCCACACTTCCTTCTATTCTTTCCCAACTTAGTTTTCCTGCCTCCAGTGGTGCTTTTTCCTTTCTTTGGTCTATAAATAGGCCTGCCACAACACAGTCTATAGCAGTAAGGAAGGCAGGAAATGCGCTTAAACAAAGGAAAGATCTTAGGGTTGGGTTGTTGGTTGTGGGTTTGTATTGTTTTTTTTTCCCTCCCCCCAGTATAAGTAAAGGAATTTGATAAAGGTAGCTTTGCAGATGCAGTTGTCTGATGTGAGGTAAACACTTGTACTGAAGCACACTAGGATGTCATTGATTGTTTCAAAGGCCCTCTCAAATTTTAGAAAATAATTTCCAGTTTGACATTATACACAATTCAGATAATACTTACCTGGCTTTTTATGTTTTCCCTATTCCCGCTTTTTCTGCTGTCTGAATCTAGTCTGGGGTAATTGCTGTAAAAATAAACAAATCAACAAAACAAACCCCTTTCTGCTAATCCTTATAGCGATGGTTTTGTGTCAGCATAGCAGGGCACTCTGTTAAGATTGTGACGCATGGTTCAGGACTGGTGAATTAGTGTGGGCAGAGACTTAAAAGAGTGGTGTTGCTATGTGCAAAGTATTTCTTCTGGTTATGATTTGTATGTGAAATACATGCAAATCTTGAGTCTTGCTAAATGTGATGAAAGTTAAAGACCTGTGGCATGTGACAAATTTAGAAAATGCTATACCTTTTGTTTTATGTGTATTATGTGATCATCATTGTTATTTACTAGTGTGGAGTTTAGGAATGAAATTGCAAATCTGTGGAAGTTTTAAGGAGATTAAATGATGTCAGATGTGAACGTCTGTGTTCAGATGTGGACTCCTCAGTGCAAAAGAGACATGGACCTGCTGGAGTGCATCCAGAAGATGGCCACAAAAATGATAGAAGGGATGGAACACCTCCTGAAGGAGAGGCTGAGGGAACTGGGGCTGTTCAGCCTGGAGAAGAGAAGGCTCAGGAAGACCTGAGAGCAGCCTTTCAGTATCTAAAGGGGACCTACAGGAAAGAAGGGAACAGACTCTTTCCGGGGTCTGTGGTGATAGGATGAGAGGAAGCGGTTTCAGATTTAAAGAGGGGAGATTTAGGATGGATATAAGGAAACGATCTTTTACAGTGAGGGCAGTGAGGCACTGGCACGGGTTGCCCAGAGAGGTGATGGAAACCTCATCCCTGGAGACACTCAAGATTAGGCTGGCCAGGGCTCTGAGCACCTGATCCAGCTGTGTGTGTTCCCGTTCGTTGCTGGGGAGTTGGACTAGGTGACCTTTAAAGATCCCTTCCAGCTCTGATGATTCTGTGATTCTGGACCAAAGGACCTTGTATAAATACAAGAGGATCTTCAGGAAAGTTCCTGTCTTATTGAGAGCTTCCCAAAGAAGCTAAGGCTAAGGCTGACGCTAAGGCTGCAGAAGTGACAGTGTGTAAAAGCTGACTGAATGTGGAACAGACCTGACTAACTCTCTGAAAAGTTCATTTTTACAGTGTAACAGCATTCAAGTATGAAGTCGCTTAGCAGTATTTCACTTGTGCCTTTTTTTCAAATGGGTTTAAAGCTTAAATCTGCTCAGTGAGTTGCTAGTGATTACAGACTTGAACTTGCATCATGTGTTCTCTGCGCACTGTGGTGCAGTCAGCACCAAGCACAACCAGTGCCCTGGATAGGCTTAGTCTGGGTCAGCACAGTGCCAGCAGTGCCCAGCTGCAGAGCCTGCTTGCACCGTGTTTGAGGGCAGCCTTTCTTTCAAGCACATGCACCTTGTCTCCGTGCCAGTCAAAACATCTTGAAGGCATCGCAGATAGAAGGCAAGGTTGAAGCAGGATTCCTCTCCTCTGTCATTTTGACTTTGCACGCTGGAAGATTGTTAGCTGCTGTGCAAACTTTTTCATTCTCACTTCATGCTTGAGGAGAGAGCCTGCCTTGAGAGGTCTTGAGAGTTTCCAGTTCAGAATGTCCTTGGGGACAAGGTAGCTCATGGAGCTACAAAAGAGCTAGGAGCTGGATGAGAAAGAGATGCTGAGGACAAACGTTCATAAGGTTCAGTCAAATTGCTCTGTGTCAAAGCAGAAGAGATATATGTTTTCAAAGCTCCATTTTTCCAAATCTTTTGTATGCACCAGACTGTAGGATAAATAATGGCTGTGGGAGTAGATGCAGAGCAGAATAACACTGTTGTGCGCAGCTTTCACTGCTCGTTTGCACTTTGTGCCTTGAAAATACATGCATGCCTGCATGTGTTGGGTATGTAAGCAAACTTTTCTTTTTGGGGAGTGCCCATATCCAGGGTCAGCTTGTTCCTGACACGAATGCTTCACAAGAATTAACAAGCTCAGAGTGAATGATCCAAAGGCAGTGCATTTTACTGGGTGCCGTAAGGGGGCTTTATACAGATCATCTTCATTTCTGCCAGTGAGCAGCAGGACACGACTCTGGAAGCTTTGATACAGTTTCCTCTGTACTGCTAATGACTGCATTACTTTAGCTCTGCACCTGGCTTTCCATAGCTGGAATGGTAACAATGGTATCCAAATTCCCATGAAATTGGAGTGCGGGAGCTTTTAAGAACAGCTTCCAAAACAAAAAGCTGAAATATCTGAACCTTCTCCTTTTCTCCTATGCTGCCCTTCTTTTGTGCTGCTGAGCAGCGTTGCGTCATGCCCAGTCTTTCCACTGACATCAGTGGGGAATAGGTTTGATATAAAGTCCTGCTCAGCGTGAGCCAGACAGCGTTATCTAGTTTGTCACATCTATATTCATAAAATAGCTTGAATTCTTCATAGTGTTGTTTCTGTCCCTCTTCTTTCCTCAGCTGTCTCCTTGCCTCCATGTTTCATCACCTTATGGAGTATGTTGCAAGATATTACATAATCTTCCCTGGTGAAGCTATATGGAGAAACAACAAACAGGTTTTTGTCTTTTATAGCTCATGTTTAGTCTACCTAATTTAATGCCATGGAGATCACTTGTCTCAGAAGCATTGAGTAAGTTACAAGGACGCTGATTTTTCTTTTGATTTCCAATCCTGTCAAACACAGATGGTCTTTCTGGACTGCAGTGCGGGCTGTGGGCCAGATCCCTCGCTTCCACAAATCTGAGCTGATCCGAGCTGTCTGGGGAATCTGGCCAATTGGTTTTAATGGATCTGTGACAGTTTACAGCAGCTGAGGATATGTGAGTTTAAGAGCCTTTCTAATTATAGCTTATGTTCACAATATAGAAAGTTTATTGTTTTCCTCCCCTCCACCATTCAAGCAAGCCATCACAACATAAAAATATCCTGACTGATCTACTGCTTGCAGCTGTGGGGCAAGCTGAAGAACAGTTCATTGTGATCTGAAAAAAAAGCAGTCAGGGAAAAGTACCGGTCAGACTCAAGCTGTGAGTCAACATACACATAGAGGGTAATGTGCTCATCGTCTGTCCTCTGTGTTTGTGGCCTCGTGAGGTTAGTGCTGCTGCTGCCTGCAATCCTTCATGCCTTCAGCTATTTGTGTGTCTTGGGTTGTGTGGTTATGAAGGGAGAGAGAGAGCAGAAGGCTGTTCTATTTCTCACCTTCTTGCTTATCAAACGCAGTATGTTTCTCTGTACTGTGAACAAAGAGCATGATGGCAGCATAACAGTGAAGATTAAGCTTTACTGAAGAACTGCTGAAGTTGTTAAGGTCTAAACCCTATGCATGTCTCTATCTCTTCCCTGTGATAGATTGCTATCCAAACAATCAGAGGCTTAAGGCTTTTGGGAAGATGGTGACAGCAGGAAACATTACCTCTGTGTTATAGACGAGGAAATTGAGTAACTTGCCAAAGGTCTCACAGGAAGTAATACTTTTATCTAGGATGCTTATTCTGCTAGTTGTTCCTTCTTTTTGTATTTTCTTTGTATTTTACTCATCTCTTGTTCCCGTTTCAGCCCCATCTTTCTATTCCATGTTCTTTGCATTCTACCTCTGTCCTGTTTAGTGTATGTATAATTTATTCTGGCAGAGTTGATCTTTGCTTGCAGCCAGCTCACAATTTCATGTTATGTTCCCACTTGTAAAATCTTCATGCATGTGCCCTCGAGCTTTCTTCTCTACTTGTGAAAAGCTGCTATAAATAACTGCAGCATTACCACCCTATGCTCCAGGACCCTTTTGTCCCTCCATCCTGGGGGGCCGCAGGTGGTGGTTCATTCCAGGGAGGTAAAACAGGGTGCTTAAAGCTTCAGTGAGTTCTAGAACTGTCAGAAATGACATCCAGTAAGTTCCTCTGTAAAGCCTGTGCTGTGCATCTTCATGCGTGGTTTCTCTGCTCTCCCAGCTGCTTGATGCCATGCTGCTTGTCCTCATTCCTGGCTGCATCCCTCGTAACAGTGGAGTGGGCAGCTGCCCTCAGTATTATTAGAGTTATCTCATACACCTGCATACTGCTTCCATCTGCATCCATCTTATTTTCCTGTTTTATAGGTCACTGGAGAGAGAGCCTTTTTTAGAGCACCTTGCACAACCATGTGCCCTTTTTTGATTTGCATTTGCTCTGACTCAAAGGCATTAATAATGGTTAGAAGCCCTCAAGCTTTACAGACCCAGACTTCAGCTTGTAGCTGTTTAATCTCAAAAGCCCACTTTTCTACTCCTGGATTTGTTTTAATGTGTGTATTTTAGAATTGAAATTTCCAAGAGAAAAAGTTAGAAAACATATGGCAGTGACAGATCACTTCTACATTGGTGTAATGCACTGATAAAGGAGCAAGAATACATTATACAGGCAAGGCATCTGTAGCAAAAAGGCTTTTATTATGGCTTCCAGAGCCTGGGTGTCCATCGTTGTATTTACCCTTTGTAGGCAGGTGTAGATTGAGAAAGAACAGTCTTTTAAAATGTCTGAAGTTTACGTGCTTTGCTCTTAGGCAGGTAGGGTTAGCATTTTTTGCTAACTTCCTCTTGCAGTGATGCATTGAGCAAGATG